GCAGCCGAATGCCATTCGGAAAGGTATACAAACTCACAGCCATTGCATGTATAACCCTCACCATCCTAGCTCTTTCCCCTTGTTCTTCTATTTATTCCGAATTACCCGCTTTTTGACATAAGAAAGACTTAAGAGGTATTTTAAATTAAATAAATAAGTGGAGATAAAAGTCAAGCAGAAAGATGTGATGAAATACATGCAGTCAAGTCAAGCCAGAAAAATATACCATAGTAAGTAATTATAGTGCACAGAAGGCCAAAGTGACGCCTATAGGCCAACTGCTACCCACAGTTACAAAATACAAATTGCACTCTTCTTTCAATACAGCAGTTATGTCTATGGAAACTTTGGGTCCCAGTATGCAATACTCCCACCTTGATTTCAGAGGCAGTAACTGAGATCAAAATGGAGCACTGCATACTCAAACTTATCCTCTCTTTAGGCCTCTAGATGAAGACAATTGTAAGCTGAACAGATTGGTGTAACCTTCAAGTTTCCTGGCAAATTTTCAGAGTAATTCTCTTTAGGATAGAGTGCTGCTTTAAAAGCCCATTGAGGTAAAAGTGTTTGAAAAGTATGCAATACATACAGAACTGTAGTGCTGAGTCCATGAGCACACCTTAAAGTATTTATTGTAATTTATAAATGAACTGAGAAGCACTCCTAAGACCTTTTACGTTGTATATCACAGTGATGAACATGGTGTAAATTGGAGATATAACTCCAATATGTTTTTGTGTCTGTGGTCTATTCTAGTGGCAATCCCTGCTATTGGTGCCCAGTACTCCATGTTTCAGGCAGCTCCCACAGCCAAGATGATGGAAGATGGCAAAATCCATGCAGTGGAACATATGCTTAATCCCATTGCTGTCCAGCAAGATCCAGCTAGTGCGGCGGCAGCGGCAGCAGCAGCAGCAGCTGTTATACCTGCAGTTTCAACCCCTCCACCTTTTCAGGTAAATTCAGTACATAATTCTAGCTAAGATTAGCTTGGTACATTGAAATCCTGGCCTCTTGCCAGGCCACAGTTTTAAGGGGCGATTTTTTAGCTTAATAACTAAACAAACAGCCCTACCTTGACAACTGTCTCACACTACACTAAATCACTTAGCCCCAAACCGGCAAACTAGGAGTAACATTACCTATTGCAGATTAGCTAAATCTCAAAAGGGCATGTGCTTCTTATAAGCATAACAAGCACTTTGGAAACAAGTTGTGAGATTTCAGAAGATGAACAGTGGCAAGGGGAAATATAAATAATACTTTGCACTTCAGTAGCACTTTCTACACAAGAATCTCTGTGTAGAAGATTCTTCTACACAGCATGAGTGAATTTAGTCTCACAACAGGCAATGTTACACACAGACTTGAGGCCCAGTGATTTGCTCTGGGTCACAACAAGGAACAGAACCTAGGAATTTGATATGCCTCTAAGGGCACATCTAGACTATGTTTTTATTTCGAAAGAGGATATGCAAATTCTGTGGGAATTTGCATATTTTCTTCCAATCACATTTTCAAAGAGGATCATTTGAAAGTGAAAGTAGTCTGCAGGCCTTTTTTGGGGGGGGGAACCCCTTTTTTGAAAAACCGCGTAAGCCTCTTTTTTTTTTTTAAGGAAGAGGGGGTTTTTGGGTTTGTTGAAAAAAAAAAAAAACACATCCAGACTACTTTCCCTTCTGAAAGATCCTCTTTCAAAAATGCGATTGGAAGAAGATATGCAAATTTACACGGAAATAAAAACGTAGTCTAGACGTGCCCCAATAGCTTGATTTGTCTGGGAGAACTAATGCTTCCTGCACCAGCAAGGGCAGTGGCACCATAGTGGGGAATGTACTCTTAGGTGAAAGCAGGTGGTGATACCACTGCTGCCTATAGCAAAAGAAAACAGGTTCAGCTTACCTTTGGAGTATCACATAAGCCCTGCTGGCAAAAAAACTACCTAGGAGATGATTATCTATTCACGTACGAGGTGCTAGATACTTTACAGACATCCAAGAAGGGACAATTCCTGCCTGGAGTAAGGAAAAACAGAAATGTGGACAGAATTTAAGGAAACCAGAAAGAAGGCCATTTGTATTAAAGTCAGATTTATCTTTAAGAGGGATGTAAATATGGATAGAGATCTTGAACCATGCATAAGAGCCATATGGAAGAGGGCACAAAAGTGACTGTGCAGGCAGTTGAAAGTGAGCAGACAAGGCTGGCAACACACATTGCACAGAGGAGTGAGGGACAACAAAAAGTTTGACAAAAGGGGATAGGAAGGAGCAGTATTTCTGAGAGCGGAGACAAGAAATTTAAATGTAATAGTAGCTGAGGAATCAGAGAGATTCAAAGACAGAAGCGACATCCTCCTCATACTCTAGCTCCCTCCATTCATAGTTGGCCCTGCCTATTTTCTGGCCTGTGCTGGTTCCAGAACCCCCTGGAACAGCAGGTGATGCACATGGCTTCTTTGACCTACTTTCCCCCAAGGGAGCCGACGGTCTCGCTGGGCCCATGGGCAAGGTGGTGAGGGTGGCTTTGGACTCCTGGAAGGGGCAGGACCTAGGGCAGCAGAGGCAGGGGCAGCCAGACCTCAGCACCGTCTGGACTGTGCCACGCTGCGGGGGATATCTGAGGCAATTTAAAAGTCCGAAAACTCTGGCTGCTGCCACAGTATTGCCTTGCTCCGGGACAGTTGCCCCCTTTGCCCCGTTCTCCCCCTCCCCCCCATCCCCATCAGCAGGCCTGCCTTCCCCCTATCACCCATGACATACTGTCTTCACCCTTACAGGCCATCGATCTTGGCCCTGCCAACAGAATCAAATCCATAATTTCGTAATTCCCACTCCTATGCCTTTTTCAACATTAAAAAACTGAAGTAAATCCTATAATGTGTGAAATAATTATGTTCAGACCAGTAGATTAAATTGCTAGTTGCTGGATGAAGTCTATGAGTTGGAATATTAAATACAGTACCAATTTTTTTGTCCCTAGGGTCGCCCCTTAACGCCAGTGTACACCATGGCGCCAAATATACAGAGACAAGTTATGTTCCGTTTGCAGCTCCTGCTGCAACAACAGCAACTATAGCCACACTACAGAAGAATGCAGCAGCAGCTGCAGCAGCAGCAGCTGCTTATGGAGGATATGCCGGCTATATACCTCAGGCATTTCCTACTGCAACAATCCAGGTTCCAATACATGACGTCTACCAGACATACTGAGCCTGTCAAACATTGGGGGGAGGAGGAAGAGGCGGGAAGGGAGGGACAAACACTGAAGGAACACTTTACTATTTATGAAGAAAGAACCTACTGCAAAAGAATATGTTTGGACTCAGTAAACTGAAACAAAATCTGAAAGTGAAGAATGTTATCAAATATTATGTTTGAAATATTTTATATATGTGAAGTTTTCACTAATTTTTTAGGATATTTTTAAAATTTAACAAACCTGTATTCATACATTTCTAAAGACCTATGTGCATTAAGCCCATTGCCTATACAAATTCATATACAGTAATGGGTTGCATAAGGGGTTTTTTGGTTGGGGTGGGGTTTTTTAGCAATTATATTTTCAATATATTTGTGGTATGAAGGTTATTTTTAGTAACTTCTGCACTCCAGAGAATTCTATTTTGTAGTGCCTTTAATAATATATCAACTATATATTAAAAAGCGCATCTGAGCAGCTAGGAAAAGTATAAACAATATATTTTGAAGAATATTTTCAATATTTAAAGAATACATTCAATAGATTTGTTTGTTCTTGTTTAAAACAACAAGTATCTTATTTAAAAAGTTATACTGGAAAGTGCAATTTGAAAATGAGCAAGACCTCTGCATTTTGTGCTGGCATTAGTACAGTTTGTTTATCACTATCTAAAATCACAGACAACAAACATCAATATTAAAAAAAACACCTCCTCCTAAAACAAACCTCTTTAAAGCATGATTAAGTTAATCATTTTAGCCAAAAAAAGAGGTTGCTGCATTTTCCATAATATCTGGCTTTTATATTTATTCAAGTTACTTCTAGCTCAGTCTCTGAGCATATGCACAGAGTATCTAATATTTCATGAGAGGTATCTTGACTTAGATCTTCTTCCAGTATAAAACCTAGTCTCTTTTTAAATGCTCCTTATTTTATTCTTTTTAAGTGTTAAGTTGTAGTGACAGAGAATGTATGATGTTTTAGACAGAGC